CCAAGGTGGGTCCATGAGGATCAGGAGATGATCGGTGCCGGGGTGGGCCAGGAGATGATGGGTGCCAAGGTGGGTCCATGAGGACCAGAAGATGATGGGTGCCAAGGTGGGTCCATGAGGACCTGGAGATGATGGGTGCCAAGATGGATTGGGCAGGACCAGAAGATGATGGGTGCCAGGGTGGGTCCATGAGGACCAGGAGATGATGGGTGCCAAGGTGGGTCCACGAGGACCAGGAGATGATGGGGCCAGGAGCAGCAAGAGTTGATGGGTGCCAAGGTGGGTCCAGGTAAACCAGGAGGACATGATGAGTACCAAGATGGTTCCAGCAGGGCCAAGCAGATGATGGGTGCCAAGATAGGACCAGAAGATGATGGGTGCCAAGATGGGTCCAGAAGATGATGGGTGCCAAGATGGGTCCAGGAGGACCAGAAGATGATGGGTGCCAAGATGGACTGGAAAGGAGAAGCAGGAGATGATGGGTGCCAAGATGGGTTGGGCAGGAGCTGGAGGAGCTGATGGGTGCCAAGATGAGTCCAGGAGGAGCAAGAGTTGATGGGTGCCAAGGTGGGTCCATGAGGACCAGGAGTTGATGGGGCCAGGAGCAGCAAGAGTTGATGGGTGCCAAGGTGGGGTCAGGAGATGATGGGTGCCAAGGTGGATTGGGCAGGACCTGGAGATGATGGGTGGCAGGATGGACTGAGATAGGACCAGGAGATGATGGGTGCCAAGGTGGGGCCAGGAGGACCAGGAGATGATGGGCATCAACATGGTTCCAGGAGGACCAGGAGGACATGATGAGTACCAAGATGGTTCCAGCAGGGCCAAGCAGAAGATGATGGGTGCCAAGATGGGTCCAGGAGGACCAGGAGATGATGGGTGCCAAGATGGGTTGGACAGGAGCAGGAGGAGATGAGGGGCACCACAATGGGTGCAGCAGAACCAGGAGGAGATGATGGGTATTAAGATGGTTCCAGGAGAAACAGGAGGACATGATGAGTACCAAGGTGCTTCCAGAAGGAGATGACGGGCACCAAGATGGTTTGGGCAGGACCAGAAGGAGATGATGGGCACCAAGATGGGTTGGGCAGGACCAGAAGGAGATGACGGGCACCAAGATGGGTTGGGCAGGACCAGAAGGAGATGACAGGCACCACGATGAGTTTGGCAGGACCAGAAGGAGATGACGGGCACCAAGATGGGTCCAGGAGAACCAGAAGGAGATGTTGGGGCACCAAAATGGGTTGGGCAGGACCAGGAAATGTTGGGGCACCAAAATCGGTCCAGGAGGACCAAGCAGAGATGATGGGTGCCCAGATGGGCTGGGCAGGACCAGGACCAGCTGATGGGTGCCAAGAGGAGTCCAGCAGGGCCAGGCCGAGATGATGGGTGTCAGGATGGGGCTTTCCAGTCCAGGAGCAGATGATGGGTCCTGTGACGGCTCCAGCAGGGCCAGGACATGGCGGGTGCCGAGTTGGGTCCCTTGGGGCCCGGTGGTGCCGATGTGGAGCGAAATGGGTGC